TGCGTGTGAGTGCAGGCACCTTCACGAGTCCAGAAGAGGGCATCAGATCTCCAGGAGGAGGAGTTACAGGCAGTTGTAAGACTCTCTTGCGAGTGTTAGAAACCTAATGAGTCTAAAAGAGCAGTATATTAATGCTGAGCTCTCTCTCCAGCCCCAGGGGTGAAGGTTTAGATAAGTATACACAAGTCATTTTAGCTATAAGCTGAAGCTTTATGTGGGAAGAGAAAGATGGTGTCAACCCAATGTCCTATTGTAACAGATTTCCTAAGGACAAGAACACCTAGGTTGAGCTTTTTTTATCTACTAAACGGGAGGGTGATATCATCCAGGCAAATCCGCATTTGAGTTTGGATGCAGGAGACCATGGAATGGCTAAGTAACTTATCGAAGCATTAGTATACAATGACTTGAAATAAAATGGGTAATGCACAAAGACACCTCACGCTCAAAGGGAGCAGGACTGCACAGACATAGTGAAACTTGGGAGGCAAGAACCTGCTTACTGGGGTGCCCTAAGCTGGACAAATGTTGTAGGAAGAGCTAGCCAAAGGAGGTGGTCACAGGCATTGGCACCACGGGGTAAAGGGTCAAAAATGAGTTCAGTGTGACCGGGAAATAACATAGCACTAATAACAACTTGGAAATTGGAAGTGGCATAAACTAATCCTGCCCAGGGCTTTAGTGTATGCTGCTGGCCAGACACATAGATGAAAACAGACATTCAATTGGCACATGCAGGGTAGTGACAGCTGGCTAGGACACAATGACGACCAAGAAGCACAAAGTCCATTCGTGACATAAGGCCCAAGCTGTTCTCAACAGACAAAAAGGAGAATTCAGCCCCCTTGAATTGGCAAACCAAAGGAAATCAAGCCTCAAGGAGTGTTTCTAAGATATTGAGCACCCAATAAAGGCTTTTATTACTGTGCCCCCACAAGGAGCATGTTTTATCAAGACTCTAGATAACAAATTAGATGGTTTTACATCGGTCTCCAATGCTCATCTCTTCAGTGGTGCCTATCAAGACTCACAGTAAGAATTTATAGAGAGGGGGAAATATTGGAAAAAGGAGGAAACTGGTTATCAGCAAAACAAAGGGGTACTTCCTCCCACTATAGGCCCAATGTTTCTGACTAGCACACAGCTTTTAGAAAAAGCCACTTGAGCTCATCAGTGAAGTGTTCTCAAATTAAAATGCAGCCAGTCTACCCAAAGGGTAAAACATCTCACTACCAAAACTCACTTAAAAATATAACTTTACATTAGACAATATATATCACTCCTAATAGATTTATGACCCTAAGACAAATCACTAACAGGCTTTTACTCCTGTCTCTGGCCTTTAGTCCTAAGCACTTGGTTCTTATGCTTTGTATAGGAAATACCATTTTCTGTACTTATGACACAAATATAGCTTAAAATAAAAACTTACGCATGGCTGGGTGTTTGTGGCGCACGCCTTTAATCCCAGCACTGGGGAGGCAGAGGCAGGCGGATCTCTGTGAATTTGAGGCCAGCCTGGTCTACTGAGTGAGTTCCAGGACAGACTCCAAAACAATACAGAGAAACCCTGTCTTGAAAAAAAAAAAAAAAAACCTTATGCATGAAACCATTATATATGGGCAGAAAAATTAAAAGCCTTAATTAACACTACAAACATAATCATGACTTTAATTGACAATTAATGAAAATACAGGTGGCCTTCAGGCTGAAATGAAATAGCCCAAAGTTTTATTTACTAGACAAGTAAATGGTTCGCACTCATTTAGATTAAGTTAAAAGGCACCACACCTCCCAGAAGCCCCTTCACAATGAAATGAATACATAAGATGTTCTACAAAGATATTGGCGTGAGTGGGGTGGAGAGGTGGCTCAGCAGTTAAAGAGCACTTCCTGCTCTTGCAGAAGACCCAAGTTCAGGTCCAAACCCCCCTATCAGACAGCTCACCACCATCTGTAACTCCTGCTCCAGGGAATCTGAGCCCTTCTTCTGGCATGTACCAGGCATGCCATGCTGCAAACACACTTAAATGCAGGCAAAACACTTATATACAAAAAATAAAATTTTAAAAGGCTTCTTTGCTTGCCATGCTGATGTACAACTCAAGATTCCATAAAAGTCTAAGTATACCACACACATACACATACACACACACACTTTAACTATTTGTAGTTTAGTAATTTATTTTGTTACAGAGAGGCAGACGGAAAGAGACAAAAAGAGATGTTCTGTTTTCAGTATCTAAATCTTACTCTCAAGAAAAATCTTGACACTAACCAGAATAAGCTGGTTATCTGCAGTAATTATAGTAACTTTATGTCTGACAACTATCTCAGTTTTTACAAACATTCAAGCACAATCAAAATGCTGTCAAAGGTTCCTTTCCTCTGAACCAGCGATAACACACTTCACAGATCAGTTAAGATGAGTGTGAAGATATGAGTCCTAAGACGTAAGGATGTTAAGACAAGGAATGGCTCATGTTCTGTCGAGAAAATGATCATCTAGTTCAAACATGAAGAACTGCATTAGGCAATCCAGTTTTGCCTGCAGCTTTTCTTTAGGAGACAGTGACTTTTACTTTGTCTTGGTTTTCTAGTGAAATTCTACTGCAATGCAGGAAAAATATACAAACATACAAAATACCCAGAGAACCACCACTAAAATTGCTGGTAAATCCCTTCTTGGGATTCAAACTACACTACTTACCACAAAGAGACTTGGGGTGTAAACAGATAAACTGAAAGTTATCTTTACAAGTTTGCCCAAACTTGCTGGAGGAAAACAACAACAACAACTCAACAATGCTCTTCTGGGGCAAATGTTATATTAGCGCCACATTAGAGGCCAAAGACACTGTGTCACAACCCTGGGGGAAAATCGATTCCATTTCCCCTACTTTAAAAAAAAAGCCTGGAATTTGATCTAGAAGTACATTTAGAGAGTACAACATTTATTGGGAGAACCTTTGGGAACACTTAATTAAAACCAGACCCATTTATTTATAAGGGACCAATGTCTTATGATCTATATTAATATAATTACTCTTGTTTGTTTGTTTGTTTGTTTGTTTTTCAAGACAGGGTTTCTCTGTGCAGCTCTGGCTGTTCTAGAACTACTGTAGACCAGTCTGGCCTCAAAATTAGATCAATCACTTCCCTCTACCTCCCGAGTGCTGGGATTAAAGGTATCATCCGAATTAGTCTTAATATCTTAAATAACTATTTTGTCCATACAAATTATTCCCCCCAGATACAGCTACAAAGGGTGCCTGATTCAGCCAGCCCAGTGGCTTGATCACTTTTCATACTTAACACCGTGGCAGCAAGGACACTTCTATGCAAATGGAGAATGAGCAAATATATTTTAGGTTCATGGCCCCATAAAGTAAACAGTTATTTAGTAAACTGTACCCCCAAAATTAGCATATAGAACAGCAATTGGAAAAATAAGCAGCTTTAGAAGGATAACACAAACTTAAGACTCAATCACTGCTTCGGTCCCTTGTGCTACCGGGCCATGAGGATAGTCATTTACTCAAAGGCTAGGTGCCTTCTTTGTGTGTGCACTATGCAGGGCAACCAACGGAAAAGCAGAATAAGAGTCCCCCAGGTCTCCGAGAAACACAAGACATGCCCATTAAATTATAACTATAAAGGGTTTGCTCAACACACATGTCCAAATGATGGCTGCCATGGTCAGTCATAATAACACTAAACTAACAGGGATCATAAATAATATGAATTATGACAATCTCAGGTCTGACCATCTTAAAACAGCATTTTTTACGCTTAAAATACTATTGCCTCTATCAAATCCTTGTTACTCTGATTAATGCTCGTAAATTAACCAGACTGAGGCTGCTTAGAGTTAACGAGGGAATGCATTTTTTTAAAAAAGGAAATAGATAGTAAACTGACACATAGTTGCACTTTAAAGCCAATTTGGCTTACCTCTCTTTGCAGCTGCCAGTCGGTAACAGTAAAAGCCAAGTGATTTCATAGCCATACAGGAAAACAACTTCCAAGTTACACAGCAAGAAATTATTTTCTGGGTAGAGTTCCTCTAGTGTGTAATGAAAGATATCTAACTAGTTTCCTTACTCTTAAATTTTTTTTTTAAAAAGCAGTATTTGTTGCGAATTAATTCATGAAGGCTTTGTGACCGCTCACATTCCCTCCGGCTCATGTTCAGAAACAGGTAATCCAGACAAAAATCACAGTTTTGGTTTTCAAGATTGCAAAGTAATTTCTGACCCTGTCAAAGTACCAGTTTTACAGCCTTACAATATCAGCGAAGTTTTTTTAAATAGGCGTGATCCTTTAACTATGAATTACAGGTGAAAGGTTTGCAAACTGGGAACCTGCCGTTTGTTTCTATGGGCCCCCGCATCAAAGAGAAAGTCACTGAATTATGTGAGAATCTTAAACAAGAAATGTAAACCGGTTTAAGTAAAGAAGATCCCATTTAGGGCTAATAATGAAGCAAACAGTCCTCAATACCGCAAAGGGATAGCGAAGAAGAAAACTAAAGAAACAAGAGCCACTCTTGAGGAATGTCCCAGCAAATTTAAATTTTAGAAGCTGTGCATTGAAGCCTTGCCACCAGTCTCGCTTTTTTTTTTTTTAATCACAGCATTTTAAAGTGAACGCCGTCTGCATGCCCAAATTAAAACCCAACAAAGGGGAAACAGGAAAAAGTGTCCCGCGATTTAGCCAGCAGAAATCACCGAGAAGCCTAAAAAGCGGGGTGCCTTTTCACATAGCGGGGCAAGCGGCAAGAACATACGAGAACTCAGGAAGTTTTGAAACGGCATTGACAGGAGACAAGGGGACGGAATCACGGAGCAACACAGCCGCGGCGCGCGGCCGACGCGGCGAGTTGGCTGCCGAACACCGAGTCGCCGGCTCGGGACAGGGCTCGACCCAGCAACTTCGCGCCGGCGCCCGCCGCGGGCCTCCCTCTCCCGCCCGCCCGCAGCCCGCCGTCGGCCACCCACCTTCCTTCTCGGCCCGCGCCGCGGCCACCACGAGGGTCATCACCAGGTGCAGCGCTCCCAGGAGGCCGGCGACCGCGCTCCAAGGACCCCCGCCGCGGCCGGCCGCGGGCTCCAGCCCGGCCCCGGAGGACGCGGAGGCGGTGGCGGTGGCGGCTGCTCCTCCTCCCGCCCGCTTCCCCATCCTGGCCGGCCGGGGGCCGCCGAGCTCGAGGTCCGGCGCGACCCTTCTCCGCGAGGCGACGGCAGCGGCGCGGGAGCCGTGGTCCGGGCTGTGGTCGAGGTGGCGGATGAGTGAGCGGTTGTGGGCCCAGGGCTCAGGCTCCCGGCGTGGGTCTGGGTCGGTGCGTGCGTGGGAGCGCGAGTGTCAGTCACAGCCTAGGCATCGGCATCGCCTACGAAGAGCCGGAACGGAGAGGCCGCGGGTCAGGCACGGCGGGCGGCCATACTGGAAACGGGCAAGGGCCGCGGGCCCCGGCGCTGGCCTCTAAGGGGCGGGGCGGGGCGCAGGGTCCCGCCCCCTCCGTGCCAACACCTGGGCGGCCCGCTGGTTTGTGTTCGCCGCGGAGTCCGTGAACTCCGACTCCTCGTCCTGCCCTCAGAATCCCACGGGTTTTACTGACGGGTCGGGCCGGGGCGGCCAACCGCACCCTGTCACCGCTGCCCGGCCCGGGAGGAGGAGGGAGGCAGGCCCGGGCTGGCCAGGAGTTAAGATGGCGGCCCCAGCTTCACGGAGGCAGTGACGATAGTCACGTGGGTGACGGGGTGGCCACGCTACGCAGCTGTATTGGCGTGTGGGCGGGGCCGGCCGCGCCTCCGACGCTGGGACAAACCCGGTCGGTACTGCAAAGTCGGAGGTCTGAATGCGCATCCGGAGTCCAGAGCTGACAATCCCTGCCGGTGACTCCTCCGGGTCGCACCTCTGCTCCTCGGTGCCTTTGACGTGGTGTGTTCAGGGTCTGATTCAGTTCCTGGCCGTGCTTCCTTGAGAATGGGGACCCGCTGTGTTTATGTCTGTGTCTTCCGAAGCATCGTACCCAAAGGGTGCCTGGTACCTCTTGGCCACAGGAAGCTCATTTTATGTTATGTTATTTGTTTGTTTATTTTCTGAAACATACCGTTTACTCAAAAAAAAAAAACCATCAGTTTTGGGGGAGGCATAAGGTGGGGAGTGACTCTTTAGAAGCCAGACTGGACTTTCTCAGCCTTGGAATGATTAAGATGTTTCTGTGCACATACTCCTTTCAATGGCCCACATAGTCTTCTGTAAGAAGCCATCACCTGTCTCCCAGGCTAAAGCTCTTGTGTGTGTGTGTGTGTGTGTGTGTGTGTGTGTGTGTGTGTGTGTGTGTGTGTGTGTAAGCCCTTTTGGGAAGGGGAAAGTTATTGTCACAGTTTGCTAGTCTTGTCACTTTCTCCAGATCCTCCCAGAGTCTTTGCTTCTCTCAGCTTTTGGTTGAGTTAGTCAATCTATTTAAAAGGCCACATTTGCCTAGTGAGTGTCTTAGAACAAACTATGAAAAAAAAATAGGATTTCAAAACAGAACTCAAAGTGCTCTCCTCTGCAGTCGCTGTTTGTGAAGCAAGCATGTAAGTGTGTAACAATATATCTTGAAGGCGACCTCACCCGATGTTTTTGTTGTTGGTGTTCGCCCACCTCCACCCTCCCAAGGCAGAGTCTCATTTTGTAGCCTAGACTGGCCTAGAACTCACTATATAGCCCAGGCTGAACTGGAACTCATCGCATCCCCATAAAAGTTCACAGAATACTGGGATTAGAGGCATCCCTGACTGTGATAATGATTTAAAACAAAACAAAACAATTTTTTTGAATATTAGTACTAAATTTAAGTGTCCAACCCAGGGCCTAAATTTTGCTCATGATGTAATGAAATAGTAATAATTATCTCTAGATTGCCTTTTGGTATGTGCCTAAGGCAAGAGATTTATGGAAGGTTTTTAACACCGGAAGAAATTAAGCCCAAGGATAGTAAGTGTTTCCCTGGGTCCCAGTTTAGCTTCCAGGGTGCTTGCTGGCAATAGCCCTTCCTCCACTGCCAGATTCAAGGCAAACAAGTCCCTCCAACCGTGAAAAGCTCAGGTTCTCTAAAGCAGGTATCAACCACATCCCCATATAGCCCCAGGCTCAAAAGCCCCATGGGAAACAACTGTCTGTCATTGAAGCTTGAACATACATGGGCTTGTTCAATGGAAGTCGGTTTCTCATGAACTTACTGCCTCTACAGAAGGCCCTCTTTCTTACACAAGTTCCTATATGTAACTGCATTTCTGCCTGTGTTCTTATTTTTAAATGGGTCTTTGCAATACTTGAATAGGCTTTTACCTGACTCTAGAGTCAGTGTTTGGGGCCTAACAAGGCAAAGTAGTCTCAGGCCCTCCAGGCCTCAATAACACCAATAGACAAGTCGGTGAAAAACAGAGAAAGGAGATTTATTCAATGTGGACACACTGGGAAGAGGGAAAATAAGTTCAGTCTCCCCCAAGCCCATTTTAGCGGAGTGACACAGGCTTACCTTTAAATAGAGGGCTAAAGGTGTGTATACCACCTAAGCCGTCTTGATCAAGGGGTGGCTCTTCGTGTTATTGTCTACAGTCTCCTTGCAATGTGGTCCATGAAGCTGTCGGTATTGTGGGAAATCTCTTCCTGGGAGACAGGTTCCTCCTGAGGCTGGCACCAGGGCTTCAGCCTTTCACTTTCCCCCAGTGGGAGATTCCTGGGGAAACTCCAATTCCTTGGGGTCCATTGTTTGAATAGCCTGATTGCCAAAGGGTGGGGCACCAGAATCTCTCCTTAAGATTATCTTTGCCAAGATGGTTCTATTAGGACTCACCATACTCAAACCCTCCCCTGTGCCCAATGAACACTGGTGAGCTCATGATGAGATCACTAGGAGGGTATTGCAGTAGTCATCATAGATGTCTTGCTGGACAGCTTGGTAACCTTTTGAACATTAGCAAGATCGAGACACTTGGCAGGTGGAGGCTATTAACTATTAACTGGTAAAAATCAGGGAAACTCCTTTGAGCCTCTGGGTCTCGTCCCCAACTTCAGTCACAGCTGGGAACTTGTTGCAAATACAAATTATCTGACTACACCTCAGGTCTGTGACATTTTAAACAGAGGCTGAGGTCTGTCATCTGCATTTTAACTCTCTGGGTGACTTTTGATTCATGCTCCAAGCTGAAAACTGTTCTTGATTTCATAGCACTAGCCACTAATGGCTATGGAGACTCCGAATTTTTTGCTGTTGTTCATTTTTTGCTCTCTACCCAGAATTAGTGAATTGCCAGTGTACTAAGGGAATCCAATTCATTGGTTTACATCCTAGTGTAACTTTATTCACTATTAGCTGTATTGTTGCTGGGCAAGTTACTCATTTTTTCTGGCTTCTGTTCACTTATTTGTAAACTGGGTATCATGAATTGCCTAATAAGTTTAAAAACATTAAACAGGATATATTGTAAAAAGGACCACTAGATTTCAGAAGAGGTAGGAAGAAGGACCGAAAAGTGGGTGAACATAACCAATGCATGTCTCTGAAAATATTACAAGAAATTACACTAATGTGTACAGTTTGTACAGGTCAGTAGTTACAGTTTTTTTAAAGGTTTTTTAATTGCATTTTTTTATTTTGTCTATCTGTTTGTGTCTGTGTGTGTGTGCGCGCGCGTGCGAGCGCATGTACTCAAATGCACAGGCTACAGCATACGTGTGTGTGAGAGGACAACTTGGGAAAGTTTGGGTCCTGGGGTTGAACTCAGGTCATAGGTTTTGGTAGGTTTTTTTTTTGTATTTTAAACAAGAATAAAAGGTATATTAAAACTTAGAGAATAATGTCTGGCTCCTGGAAGACTCTCAAAACTAATTATTAATGCATATCTAATTTTCAAAAACATATTAAAGAATGAGACACCCAAAAAAATCACTGATCAATTTATATCCCAATATCATTACATAAAATATTTGAGGACACTACAAGGAGAATCCCCACATCAGGGTTAAAGCCACAGCCATCGTGATGGCTCCTATCATTCCACACATTCTGGCTCACCATGGTCTTTGATGGCTTTTCCCACTGTGCTCCTCCAGGCTTGGTGTATCTGTCTCAGTGTCTCTGGCCACTGCCATGCTGGTTGTTCCAGGGCCTACTTCCTAGGCTCTCCTCTCCCTCTACCTGGAACACCTTCACCTCCTAACCAACAGTCACTGTTTTTCCCCTTGTTTTCAGTTGTCTCACTCATATTGTCTATAGTATATGGCCATATATGTATATATATGTGTGTGTGTGTGTGTGTGTGTGTGTGTGTGTGTATAGAGTCTGTATACATATGAATGAGAATATTCTTGTACACACACATACATGAATTAGAATGGGAGCAGGAAGAAAGATACTGTTGAGGTTCCTGGAGTCCTGTGTCTCTGTCTCCCCAAGAGATGTAGCTGGTTCCCTGCCACTCATCACTATCCACATCTTCTCCAAGTGCAACTCTATACCACCAGCTTTACTCTGACTGTGCAGTTTCCACTCACCTGTCTCACAGTCATCTTAAACTGGGGGAACCTCTAACCTTCCCCTGCCCAAGCCTGCCCCACCCACAGCTGTGCTTCTCTCCAGGATAACTCCAGCTACCAAGGTGTACAGTTTTAAAAAACCTAGGCATTGTTCTGGGTTCATCCTCGGATGTGTCCTGAACCAAACTGCTCGTGACCTCTGCGGCCATGTTCTGATGTGGCTTCTGTTATGTCCCTGGATTTCTGCTTCCCGGTAGACCTCCACTTCACCCGGAAAAGGAGACTTTCCACTCATGGCCTCAGCGTGTAAGACATCAAAATGGGATGTGGTGCTATAATTCCTGCTTCTGACCAGCTGGAGCTGATGAAGGACTGAGAACTTTGAGCGACCCCACTGTAGGTCCTTTTGTGACCTAACTGCAGACTTCCTCCTGGGCTGTGAATGATGGGGTTTACCAGTGTTATTCAGCCCTACCCAGAAAGCAGTTTTTTGGTCCTCAATTAGCATAACCACTGGGGACCAACGCCACCCCGCCCCCAACCTTCCCTCTTTCTAGAGCTGAAGGAAACCTTGACTTTTCCCAATTCACAAACTGTTTTCCCTAGTAAGTGTGTTAAACTCAGCCTAGATTTTTATGTATACATTCGGTTTTAATGGTCTTTGTTTTCTTTCTTTTTAAAAAATTTTTATTTATGTACTTATGTATTTATTTATTTATTTATTTGAGATGGGGTTTCTTCTCTTTGTCATAGCTCACTCAAGCTATCCTGGAACTCTGTAGCCGATGAGATCGGCCTGCCTCTGTCTCTGCTGGAATTAAAGGCGTGGGCCACCACCACCCAGCTAGCCTTTGTTTGATACTTGACACTCCTGCAGAGATCAGGGTCGAAGCACTCAAAAGTGATGGCTTCCATCACTTTGCACATTCTGACTCACCATGG